CTTCCAAGCGACTCTCCAGCTCGGCGCTATCCATACTGGGTGTCATCTTGTTTCCCAAACTAGGCTCCAGGACCTGTTTGGATGGCATTGACTGTATGTCCTCGTCTGGAGCAAACAAGAGTCTCATCCTTTGACGAAGTTTCTCTTTGTACAGAGGGTTCGTTTTGGATTCTGTTGTGAGAATACTCTTCTTTCGTTGTCCTTTGAAAGGGGAATGTGTTGGAACTGAAGCTGGTTCTGATCCTTCCTTCTTTCTGGTCTCTAGCTGTAAGGGCTGTACTGAAGGACCTGCATCCTTACTATCACCCCCACACTCAATGTGACTTTCAGGTGGAGTTTTAGGTACTCGAGTTCCCCGATCCAGGAACTCCTGGAACAAATCCGCCAAGAGGGGCGCCAGAGTTCCATTTCGGTTTCTATCAGCGGGAAACATTTTACTTTGAATTTAGAAAGAAATGACGACCTAAAAGATAAATATTACTATATGGTTTGAATAATTGATACAGAGAATGGCATAACCTTCATGGCCTACTTAATGTTATTTCATTTAAGGGATTTTTTAAACAGCAAACCTTAAAGACATTCGTTTTTCTTCTTTCCTGATCCCTAGCTACGACCCTGCACCAAGAGATCTTTGCTTAACCATCAGGAAATGTAGTGCACCACTTCGATTACCCATTAACCCCGATCGCAGCATAGTGTAGCGGCATTTTGTGCCGTGATTAGGCGCGAAAATTTATTGGTGAAAACCTTATGCAATCGGTGTCTTATGCATAAATCGTGGCCAATTGTCACCAGGCAATGGGATTTGGCCAACGATCCGTGGCGACCTGCGTTTAATTATCGCCCCGCCAGCGCCCGGCGAGCTACATGCGTGCTAATTGACCAGGCAGCAGCAGGCTGGCTACACCAACAGTTCCAATCCCCTCAGTGTCCCCGTTCCAATCCCAATCCCAGTCCAAATGTCCAAATGATAACCGCAACGATGAAAACGCATGCTGAGCCAAATGAAAATTATGTTGCAATCGGTGAGCGTGTTGCCCGGCCTGGTCACTGAACCACTGCTCCACTGCTCCATGGAATTACCACCAGCATCCATCCGCAGGCTTAATTAATTTCCTTGATTAATTGAAAGTGCGCTTCGAGCCGTTTTTTTTATGTGTTATTTTTTGGCAGTGCAAAGTTGAAGGCAATAAGAAAAATCGTCTGGGATTCGATTCGGTAGTACTTATGTGCTGGGCGTTGCCCTGGGCCAACCCTTGGCCATTACTCTTGGACCCGAACCGCGCAGCTTTCCCTTTTCCTCTCGATTCGATTCGATTATGGCCAAAATTATGGTCCAAGTCCTGGAGGCTTTTGGGGTGGGATGATGTTGTGGCAATTAAAGATGCTCTCATTGCATTTAATTATTACATTTTATACATTTAATTATGTAAATGTGGTTGCCAAGAGCTCTTAGCTATAACAACTTAATTATTTGCAAGTTATTTCAATGAAAATAAGTCTTCAAATATAGCCATACAATACCCATAGATCATTGATCAATCGCTACCATAATCTTTGACCTTGTCAATCCACTAACATACCCCAAAGCTAAGCAAGTACATCAAGATGAATTAAATCTCATGGCTAACATCAATCATTCGCAGTTTATGGCCACACAATAGAACCCCACTGCACTCATCTTTAGAGGATTGTCCATTGCGTTCACCGTATATTCACTGATTCCATAAAATATGATTATAAATGTCGCTTTCAGCATTTATAAGCAGTCTGGGATTTTAATACTTTATTGCTTATAACAGCAATAAGCGACATTAAATGCTCCATTCCTGCTTACAGAAACAAAAAGGCAATCTTGCATTGCAAGACAAAAAGCGAAAATAACGAAAAACCAAAAAATGAATTGTCTTCATTTTGTAATTTAATGGTATTTTATTGAATTTTTGATGGGCATGGACACAGCCCCCATCCTTGGATCCGGATCCCTTCCCCCATTCGATGGGATATGATCCTCCTCCTGCTGCTACCTTTCCTCCTGTTGACATTTAAAATATGGCCGCGTGTCAATGCGACTGCCCTACGCCCATTTTTATGGCAAAAGCCCACCGAAAGTCAGGTTTACATTTCGATTTCGGTTTCGATTTATTTTTTTTTTAATTCGAAGGAGATCCAGAGATCCCGGAATCTCAGAGTTAAATTCAATTTGAAGGTCTGTGCCAGTGCCAGTGACCAGAAAAATGTGCTTTCACTTGACCCGCAATGCAGCGTAAATAAATTTTATCGCTACGTTGACACGTGCGCGTAATATTTCATTAAATTTAAACTGTACAAGCTCACCGCCGGAGCCCACGTACAATGTATATCCAAAAAATACAAAATAAATAATAAGAAATAAGAAATAAAATATAATTGCGTTCGGTTCAAAACGGCAGCATAAACAAATCTGCGATTGCATCGTAACTTCGTTTTCAATTTGGCAAGTTTGACACTTTGGCCAGTTAGTGGATGTCTTTCCCCTCAGCCACTGTCCAGTGGCCAGTGTCCAGTATGCCACCTACGTTGGCTAACTTTAGTCCGTTTCCAACTCCAGATACCTCTACCTGTCGTGCCCATTACCGCCTGCCATTCACTTGCCGGCAGTGCGTGCCTGCTCCGGTTATGCTGCAGTTGCTCCCGTTTGGAGTCGCTGCACTGATTGCAAATGTCAATTGTTGTTGATCGAACAACAACAAAAAAAATGTCTCATATTTTGTTTATGTTGCCCAAGGCAATAAAGAAAGTAGTTTGGAGAATTTAAATAAATTTAAATTAGGTATAACTAGTGCACATTTGATGCATTTGCAAAGAGAGATAGTATTTCCCTACTAACTACTCCCTAGAACTCTTGCTTCTATTAACTACCAATTATAAATAAAAACCCAGCACAGCAACCACAAAACATATTTTAGTACAAGTCCCGACAAATGATGCAAGTTTTGACAAGTTTTAGTGTTCCTAAAACTAAATTACAAGGCGCTCGTAAATAATCCAACAGAGAAAACAAAGGAAGGAAAATAAATCTGATGCAACCTTGACTTGACGAACGCCCACAAAGACATCCCCAAAGAGTGGTCTAGGTACGCCTCTTGTGAATAATTTTTAAGGCTGCCAAGAATCTCATAAACATATGGCCATTATGCTGAACGCTTAGGCTAATGGCCCGTTTGCCACTAAGCCCACTCAGGTGAGGTATATATGTAAAGTTCCTGAGACTGAGACTGAGCTCGTAAAACTCACCCCGCTCCTAGAGTTGCAGCTTTCGGTGCTTAGTGATGTCTTAGATGGCGGCTACAAGTGCTGCTCCCGCTGGTCATTAGGAGACAAGGCGGCACACGCACCCGTCGGAGCTCTAAGAGTTGAAGTCATTTGTTCCAGCGAATGGGGCGTCACTTAAACTGATGCTAATTTCCATAATGCACGCCTTGATGGCAGCCGAACAGGTCTGCGTCTCCTTCGCTCTGCAAATAAACTTTAGGCGTTAAAAGAGAGACACTGTGTTGCAGAAAACTATAACATACTCTTTTTAAATTACTAATTTTTTATCCCTGAGCAAGTGTGGGAGTAGAATTTCTTGAAATAAATATATAAAATGATTATTCCGCAATCAAATGAAGGCCAAAATCCAATTTAAACTCAACCTCTAGTTGACACCTTATGGCCTAGAGAAACCACTGGCTGGCTGGCTGGCCCTGGCGATTTAATGGCTCCACAATTGGCCTGACCCATCTTCTGCAGTCTGCCAAGCCAAGTGGCTGGATGGTGTGGACTACGTCTGAGAGTCTGGCGAAGAGCAGGCAAGGCTTTTGTCGCTGTCCCCGGGAAAACATGAGTATGATTTATTGTAGTTTATGCGGCCGGTGCAGCTTCTGCCCGCAGTTCGTGATGGTTGGCTTCGTTAGTTGGAATCCTGCTTTACTATACCCTGGCTTTATGGGTTACCTTCTTTACAGGATCTGGTTTATGAGGGAAGAGTATAAAGAGTATCTTTGTAAACTTAGTAAAGCCTTACTTACAACTGATTTAAGTGTAACTTATTCCCTACTTTTTCCAGCGAAGAATTGTACTTCTCTTGGATTTCTTAGAGTGTTTCCTGCTTCGGTTTTGGAGAGTTTTACATTTTCCTGTTGCAATTCCTGCACTTGGCCATGCTTATGTGTATCATTTTTCTTGGCCAGCGGCTGGGATTGTACATTATTGTATTTTCATATTATTTGTGCTTAATTTGCGGGGCCGCGTAGCGTGTGTAGCCGGGGAGATGCCACGGAGGAGCTTTGGTGGCAGCCATGCACCTGATTCCGCGAGAGCTGTGACTTTTGTGGCCGGCGGACATGTTCGTTGATTTGCGGCAGGCAAATGACCAACTGCATCTCAACTTTTGTGGGCAGGAGCATTCGGGCTAATAGCCCAGGCCTGCTGCTCCTCCTCCTCCTCCTCTGTATTGTTGCGTTGCTTTTCTGTTGAGACTCCTTTGGCATTGCGACGCCTCCTTGAGCGGGTTGTTCCTTTGTCAATTTCCAGAGATATGGATTTGCCGGGCCAAAGAACAAGATTTATGTTAGTCGCGGTGTCATTTTAAGTTAATGGGCTATACTCCCCGACTAGTTTTGTTATAGATGACCATTTTTTTGTGCGTTTATTTTGCACTTTTTGCCACATTTCGTGGCTTTTTTCTCACTTTTGCTGGGCCAGCTGCAGGTGAATTTGCTTGAATTTATGGTTGCAGCTTTTAAATTGCTTCTTCCAGACTTAGACACAAAAGTCTGACGCTGGTTTCTTTAATATTAACTAACTTTAACTTTATTAAAGCTTAATTTATAGACTTTTTTGGCCATTTTAATGGTTATTAGCACACACTTTGCACTCTCTACTTTTGTAAGTTTGTTTCTAATACTTTTTTCTGATCTGGCAATGCCTTGGCTTTTTTCTTACTGGCCATCAGTGTTGTGAAGCGTCTAAAGTCATTTTGGCGAGCAGTATTGTCAATGTGTGTACCAACACGTTTTTCCCCAGCGGCTCGCTTTCCGACATTTTTTTTTCCTGTGCTTTGCTTTTCTGGGCCGAAATTTCAGAATTCGATTTGTGTTTTATATAAAATCCCGAGTACACGATGAAACGCCAATACAATCCCAAGATCTCGGAGGAGCAGCAGCGCGAGAAGGATGACTCGACCACTCCGTCATCCCAATCGCCCACAAATTCTACGCAATCTTCACCGGAATCGTCGACGCAGCCCAGCAACTACGCGATTTTGTATGTGGATGTGGTAAAGAATATGACCAAACTGGTGATCTCACAGCCGCCACCACCACCACCGTGTCCGGCACCAGAGTTTAGCATCTTTCGTGAGGATTTTCCCGCCCTGCCGGGCACGCGCCTCTCCTCCACCTCGTCTTCAATGGTTCCCGACGACTGGACAGCCATGTTAACGGACGACGAGGTAGATATCGACTCAAACGGTTGCCTGGGTGAGCTAACTGTCAGTGGTCCACCGTCTACTGTCAGCACCGAGGAGGAGGAGGACGACGAGGAGGAGGATGATTTCCCGAAGGAACCGAACCATCCACCGATCATCGGAACCGCAGCCGCCACTCCAGCCGCTTCGTCGTCATTGGCCACCGCTTTCAACTGCGAATTCCTGCCGCAGCTCTTTGGTTACCTCAATAATCCGGCTCGCTTCAATGTTAGCCTGATTTTTGGCAAACAATTCCTCCATGAGGGCGTTAGGCAGCGGGCTCAGATCAAATCCCTTGGCCGCCAAATGACATCGCCGTCAAGGGTCCAGGCACCGCCCGGATTTGAGAATACACCGCTCTATGCGCATCTCAATACCACTCCGAATGGTTCACCCTTTGGTGGCGTCTATTTCGACTCGGGATCAACTGGGCTGGAGGAGTTTTGCCAGGCGGATGGGGATTTTGTGGACGGCTGCTTTGGGATGCTAGGATTGGCCAGAAATCTGGGACTGGTGGGACGCAATCCTCAGTTTAAGGAACAATTCCTTGGAGAAGAAAGCGAACGTGATACCGAATTTAATTGCAAGCATCAACCGAAAAACATTCCCATTCCGGAGGGAATACCACCACGTGTGCCCAAGAACTATGTCATCGCTGGGAAAATTGATCTCCAGCAGCCGAAGATGGAACAGATGGAGGTGGAGCTGCTCTTCTATTTCTTTTACACCTTCACTGGCGACATGATGCAATTGCTGGCCGCTGCCGAGTTGGCGGAACGTGGCTGGCGTTTCCATAAGTTGGAGCATTTGTGGATCCTGCGGCAACCGGACAATCCGCACTACATATACCGGGGATTCCAGGAGTCGGGCGAATACAACTACTTCAACATGTACAAGTGGAGGATTTTGCCGCGTTTCTTTCAACTGGAACCCGATCATCTGGAGCGGACGGTGAGCAAGGATGAGCTGTACGAGCAGTACGGATACCATCCACAAATGGCCCGTTGAGAGGCGGTTGCTTGAAGAAGAGATATACCATCTTGGATTTGCTTTGTCGTTGTCAGACGTTTTATAAAACAAATGATTGTAAGCGGTTTTTTTTTGTAAATCCAAATAAGATATTTTTTTTCTGAAATAATTGTGCGACTGCATTATTGGGTTATAATGTGGTTATAGCAATGAAATTTTTGATTTTCTTTTTATTGAAAAATCATAAATAGGGATGAAGAAAATATTGATCTATCGATATTGTAACCGGAAAAGATAAATCCATTTTCATTTTGTTTTGTATAAAACTAATCAATCTTTTTTGTCAATTTAAAATACATTTACATCTACATATTCCTAACCTTTTTCTAATCAAATCTATATTTTATAAATTTCCCACTCCATGGATTCCAACTCACATGCCACTTGGATGTACCTGTGACCAGTTCAGGAGAACTCCAAGCAACGCTGTCACCTTGCAACTGACCCGTCGCCAAAAATTAAGCTAACCACACCCTCAAAAACCACACCAACTAAACCACATCTTGGCCAAGCCTGCCCGCTGGAAACACACACAAAAAAAAACACTGTAAGATACGAGGAAAATCGCAGCGCTCATTAGCAAAATGGAGCAGCGGCAGACGGACAGCTGGACAGTTGGAAACTTGGTCTTGAGACGCTTGGCCAGTTAGTTGTCCGCCCAGGCAAGCAGGCACGATCTCTTTGGCCAAGTGTCGCCGTCATTTAGACCGCTAATTGCCACGTAAATTTGCAACCATTTTTGGCAGCTCATTAAATTTATTATTAAAACAAAAGCCAGAGCCCAAGTTAATTGCCATCAAATTGACATGCGAGCTGCTCGGAGACGGACGACAACACCCGCCTGGAATGGCAGCTTGCGACTCGGAAACTGGAAACTGTGCGCATGCGTATTAATTGCCATGGAAACTTCATAATTTAATGTGGAAAAATGTGAACGTTAGGCGCGGTGCTCGATGGTAGGAAAAAGCCACAACCACCACAAGTACTACAATGTGTAATTTAAGCGGGAGAGAGAGACTTTAAAAGATTCGAATGGTTTTTTTTCGGATCTGTCCACTTGGCGCGGCTTATTTATGGCACGGCAAAGTTTGATTGAAATGTGTTGTCTGTGAAATTGACAACTTGGGTGAGATTTGCACGGCTTACAGCCGGATCGGATCGGTCTCGGGATTGGGATTCGTAGCTGCATTCGGGGTTGGGACAACAGTTCCACAACACTTGAAATATTTTCTCTACATAAAACATAGTCAAATATTTACGGAGGAAGTTATTTTTTAAATAAGTTTGTTTATATTTATTTTGGAAATATAATTTAATAGGATGCGATCAGTGCGTATATTTCATAATTTCATGTTCAGTATTCAAAGCTTTATTTATTTTTGATAATCAAGTAAAGGTGGCTGCACTTGAACATCGATAGATCTCGATATGTCAAATTGAAGTGCAGCCAACTTTACTTGATAATTAAATGAAACATGAATGCCAAACGTAATTATATTCATAATTCTGAACAAGAATTATCACACAAACACTAGGAAGATAGATTTTTTGGAATAGTTAACCTCTTTTTCATTGATATATTATTGGTATCTAAAGTTAAATATAGCAATAATATATACAAATAATATAATAATATGTCTTATATGATTTCTATTTTTCCCAGAAAATCAAATTCTCCTAAATCCCTAATAAATTGTTTCCTCTCTTTGTATTATCATATAGCGTCACTAGAACTGGAAAAGCAACGATGTTTTAAGTAAATCGATCGATTGATATATTTTGTAAGTAAAATTTTTAGTATAATTAAAAAATAAATATATTAAATAAAACATAAATAACAGAATAATTTAAGTTAGGCAATCAGTTGCAGATCCCCTCGTTTATGCTGTTTAAAATATTATTTTATGGTTTACCTATAAATCTATACTTGTTTCATCTCTTCTAATCCCCCTTTTCTTTCAGTGTCGCTATCATGAGCCAATTAAGCATGAATCATGCACCCAAAAGACTTCTTGTGGCAGGATCGTTGTGCAATGGGCGCTCTGATTAATAAGCCGCCCGCACATGGTCGGGAGCAAACCGGGAATTAACCCCGAACCATTGGGTATGGATCGCCGAAGCATAACCACGGCACACGCATGCGCAACTGCAATTACCGTTACCCTGGCCAGGAGGAGAGAAAGAGAGATTCAGACTGGAGCTGGAAGCTGGGAGCAGGGACAGGTTGGGTGTCAACACGCTCGTAACTTGCAATCAACTTAAGATGACAGTGGAAATGAAGCATTGACGCCTCGCACGTACCACGTAAAAACTGAAAGCCCAAGAAGGAGGAAGCCGCCGAGGAAAGTCCATATCCCACAACCCATTGGTCGGGTCCATGGTGGGCAGGCCGTATACAAAAAAATAAAGTACAAATAAAAAGGCGAATGCAATCAGGTTTCTCCTTCATCTGTTGTCCATGGCGAGTGGGTACCAAATTAGACACATTTTATTATTAAAATCCACTTGTGTTGAAATAAAACACGACTTTCTGTGTCGCACATAATGAAAATATATGGCAAGTTAATGCCAGAATTTATTTATCAACCGGCGAGGCACTGTGGGAAGATGATTTTCCAAAAAAAATGGAAGAAAACTAGCACTACTAGATAGTTCTAGGAGAATCCTTAAGAGGTTTTGCTGTAAGTTTTGATGTTTTTTTTTTGTTTATGTCGCTATGAAACATTGTTCCTATTTAATGTTATCCTTTTTATTTCTATATAGATCACTGGATTTTCGAATCTTCAGAGATAAATCATTGTTTTTGATCACAAGAATCTACTCACAAGTTCTAGAGAACCTAAAATTTAACCTTTACAGCGATGCCTGCAATTGACAATTCCCAGTTGGCAACAGCATCTTCTGGATGGATGCAAGAGAAGATGCAGAGATCAATGAACGCTGCCTCAAGGCTTTCATTCAAGTCACATCGACGTCTCTTTATGCATATATCAGTCAATGGCAATTCCAGCAGATTCAGCAATCCGGCAAAGAACCTGGACGCCTGGACGATGCTAATTGCCGCAGCCCGTTGAGGCGTCTTCCTTTTGCAAATTTGTAATTTTAATTATCCCAATCGGGAGCCAAGTGATTTGCATACGAAGATCGCGTCAGGTATATTTCGATTTCGGCTGGGATTTTACTTATTTGATTTTTTTTGGGTGGCTGCTGCCAGCAGCCAGCAGCATTTGCTCCAGGGTTCGTTGTCTCATTCATCAAGACGTCTGACTGTCTGGTGACTTCGATGGGCATTATGCCATAGCTATAGGAATGGAATATAGCCACAGCCCTGGGCAGAGTTCAAAGACACAACGGGACATTCAACCTGGACGGGGAAGCGACAAGGCCACGGCAACGACACCACCACGCTCCACACACACCCACGTGTGTGTCCAGCGGTCGGAGGAGGAGTCGTTGACCAGTTGGGTTGATTGAACTGGAGCTACCACTACTCTACCTGCACTGAAACAAATGTATATATCGTTTTTACGGGTTTAATAGGTTTTGTAATCGATTGTTTTGATGGGATACTAATTTGAGTTAAATATTTGTATTGCCACAACTTTAATTTAATCCCTTTTTTGAATACTTCTCTGGAACACTTTATATTCTTCCGCAACAAGTTGTTCTATTGGACTTCCTATTTGTTTAGATATGTGCATTTTTAAAAATAAATAATTAAGCATTCAGTTTCATCATTTTCACTTTACATTGAAAGCCAAAAGGTGTTTCAAAATCATTAAACTAAACACTGGGAATTATATTCTAAACTTGAGATTAAATATTATATGATTTGTCTAAACCTGAATATTATATAGATCCTTTATTTTACTACCCATTTTTATTACTTTTAGAAGACTAAGTATTTAAGTTCAGTATTTTTTCCTTTGATGTTTAAATTTATAACATATTTTGGCTTTTTACTATTCTTTCTTTTAAAGAAACATATTATCACTTTTCTTTAAAATCAATCTCTCTTTATTCTATTTTTAGCTTCTCTTGGAATTTTTCTTGAGTGTAAAAAACGGAAAAACATCCCGGGAAAGAACTGTTGTTGCTTGGGCTGCCTGCCCCAACAAACGGCAAATTGCAGCAGTGAGAACTATGGGCCTGATTTGCAATTCAGCAGTAGAACAATGGTCCCCCAGGTATCCCAGCATCCGAGCATCCCAGCTTGTCTTTTTTTCTTCTTTTTTTTGTGAGCTTTTCAGCATCCGCATCGGGCGGAGATCGTCTTCCCGTAACAATTTCCCTTCTGCTTTTATGCAGCATGCACGGAATTAACGGATCTCGGATCTATAGCGATAGCTGGCCACTGAACTGCAACAGAATGTGGCAAACGGGGGGTCGAGGTTTGCGGCGCAAAGAGAATGAAAAGCGAGCAACACAAATGTAGGTGGTATGCATTTTTATGAAGCGAAAGTGCAAGAACCACAAAACAGCCGTTCATTGTGCTACAATGGAACAATCCACAAAACCATTGGCACCATCATCTCCATCTCCATTTCCATCCCCATGCACAGCATCCATAATAAAGATTTTGTTTAGATTTTGTCCACGTCTTATCTAAGCATTTTACATTTTTTTTGTTCTTTTATTCTGCACACACACGAAATTTGTCAAAACAAAAAATTTGAATTGAATTTGTCAAGGCATACGGTCCATGTATCCATGTCCAATTGCCTGAATCCAAAGCTCCAATCGCAACTATATTATGTAAGTTTAATTAGCATAAATGTGATTGATCCCCCAGTTGAAGCAAGTTTTCTCGAATTATTTGATTTTTATTGATCTTTTTCTCGAATGAAATGCAAAAAAATGCAATTGCATTTTTGCGTTTTCGTTTTTATTGATTTTTTTTTAACCAAACCGATGGCTGTTTTTGTTGTTATGAATGCTGAACGTAACAATACTTTGAACTCAAAAGTCTCTAGAGACCAAATGTTTACCCTACTTGGGAAATGGTTTTGGGTTATCCATTAAGGATTTCCTTGCATTAGGGAATTTATTTACATATTTTTATGTTTTTCTCAATTTT